CCTCAAACAAGTGTGGTTTATCCTCACGAAACCCCTAAATCCTCCCAAGACCCCAAACGCTCGCGGCATTCCTGATATCTTCATAGCTTTCGGATGTGAGGTCGCCGGGTCTAGCATAGGGCCTTTGATAATTAGAATAAGGTTTTGGGTGTATATTATACTAGAACTATAGCAGGGAACTCGCTATACTAGGGGTCTTGGCTCTGGTCTTGCGGCCAAAAGATTCTCGGATTCAAGCTTCTCGGTGCTGTGCCTCTGATAACTTGGCGATGCCATCTGAGTTGAGTCGACCGGCGTAGAGGATCGGGTCGGTGAACCAGGACTTCGCATTCGAGCTCCCTGGGTTTAGGGTTTAAGGATTTGGGGTTTAGGGTTTAGGGTTTAGGGTATAGGATCTTGGGCCATTCGGCTTAGGCTTTTTTGGGGGGTTTAGGGTTGAGGGTTCCGGCGACATGCTCGCTTGGCTGGCAGCGGAAATGCACAGGAAACTGGCCAGCTGGTGCATCCGAATCTGCAAAGCAGCTCTATGCACTCATGTTTCGCTGAAGAGGTTCTGATCAAACCAGAGACGCCGTCGAATCATCTAGAACTCTTTTCTGTCACAAGTTCCGAGTGGGGAGGTGGAGACCCTAAACCCTAAACCCTAAACCCTAAACCTAAACCCCAAACCCCAAAACCTAAACCCTAAACCCTAAACATAAACCCTAAAACCCTAATCCCTAATCCCTAAACCCTAAACCCTACAGTGTGTTCGCCGATGCCCTCCATGGCTGCGCCGCAGGACTCAGGATACTCCTGGATCGGCTATGGGCGAAGCTTCACGATTTGATCCTTGAAGGGTTTAGGGTTTAGGGTTTAGGATTGGGATATAGGGTTTAGGGAAGCACTTCAACTTGGTTTCACTGGATCGTCTTCAATTCGCGCAGGGATGCAACTTTTGAATGTGTTTTTGGGTCCAAGGCTCTCGACTCAAGCTTTGCGGAGATCAGGAAAGCCATCAATCGTGGCCACGACGACTGAGATTGGCTAATTGAAGCGTACACAGAAGTATCAAGCATCAGATGAGCACAACTTTCACCGTCGGCGGGACTCGTTTCTGTGGCGGAACTGCTGCACATGTTCTCTGAAGGCTGCACAAGTCTGCACAAGAAGAAGGGCCATCAAGTGGCAGTTTCAGAATCCCAAGTATGCGAAAAGGGAAAAGTGCAGGGTTTAGGGTTTAGGGGTTTAGGGGTTTATTCTGCCAAAGCTCCCACAAGCATCCCGACACTGCACACACCAATGTGCTCCTGCGCTGACACATCCCGCCAACGCCACATGCTCAGAGGAATTGTGCCTTCCGTGGAGCTTGAATTTGGGGTCCGCTCCCGCAGATCGAAAGCTAAGTCCACAAGGATCCCTAAACCCTAAACCCTAAGACCCTCGCTCCTCAACCTTGTACGTTTAGGGGTTAGGGTTTCCAACTAGGGTTTAGGGTTGAGGTTTAGGGTCCCTAAACCCTAAAACCCTAAACCCTAAACCCTAGGGCTTAGGGCTAAAGTAGCGCTTGCAGGACTCCGAACGACTGGCCTTGCCCTCTCTGCGCAAGGCTGCAGTCAGCACCTCCGACCCCACGGGAGTGGGGAGGAAAGCTGTCGGATTGGTTTAGGGCTTTGGGATTGAGAGGTTCTGGGCTTAGAGCTTAGGGTTCAGGGGTCTATAGGGTTTAGGGCTTTAGGGGTTGTCGTTTACGGGTGTTAGATTAGGGCTTCGAGGCGTGGGCGTTTGAGGTTTGGGCCAAACCAAGCCTAGAAGCCTATCAGCCTCAACCCTCTGCCCGAAAGCGCTGAACCTAAAACCCTTAATCCGACAACTCTAAAGCCGAAGCTGAACGGCATAGGTATCCTTTTTTTGGTCTTATTTTGCCGTTGTTTTTGGTATTATGTTTCTGTTCTGCTTGGCGTAGCTTGGTGCAGGAATTCCTTCGATTGTGCAGCTAGTCAGATTTTATCGGTTTCCATGGGCATTTCCGCGGATTTCCTTGGCATTGCGAGGATTTCTGAGGATTTCACAGGACTTTGTGAAACTTCTTAGGTTTTGCTGTAGCTAAGCTTGCGTAGAATTTCCTGCGCTTCCGTGAGATGAGAAGCTTTCATAGGATTTCACGGGAGTTTCGCAGGACTGTGTGAAGCTTCTTAGATTTTAATTTGCTGTAGTTAAGCTTGCCTAGGATTTCCGGCGATTCCGCAGGATTTGGCTGGCATAGGATTTCACAGGAGTTTCGCAGGAATTCATAGTACTTCTTGAGACTTGCTATGAATACGTCGGCGTTCAGAAGGTTTTCTACTACTGGTTAAAAGTTCGTCAGATATCGCGAGACTTTCAGAGGAATTTAGGATTCCCAGATTAGGATTTCCTAAGATGTCGTAAGATTTGCTAAGATCTTAAACCTGCATGCGCAATGGAGTTACAAAGACCTCAAACATACAGAACCCCATCAACCCAGACAACTGCTTCATGCTGGGCTCTTGCTTGCTTGCTTGCCTGCTTGCCTGCTTGCCTGCTTGCCTACTTGCCTGCTTGCTTGCTTGCTTGCCTGCCTGCCTGCTTGCTTGCTTGCTGCCTGGCTGAGCACAAGAAACGGAAAAATTACCCAAAAAACGAATAAAAATAGCGAAAAAAATTAGCGCCACCAACGCTACATAGTATAAAAGTCCAAATATGTAAACCCCCACACCGCAAAACCCTAAACCCTGAACCCTACACCCTGAACCCTACACCCTAAACCCCTAAACCCTAAACCCTCAATCCTTAAACCCTAAACCCTGAACCCTACACCCATAGAGACTCCAATATTCCTTAATTAAGGAATATACCTTAAATCTTATTAGGGTTCCCATTATAGGTATATTCCTTAATTAAGGGGTATTGGGCTCTCTGGGCATCTCTGCGGGCCCAAGCACCGGAGCGCAGAGCGCGGCGGCAAAAAGCGGCCCGGCACTGGCCTGCACGGCAGCGGCCTCCGGGATTCCGGGTTTGGGGTTTAGGGTTTTGGGTTTAGGGTTTAGGGTTTGCGGGTTTAGGTTTAGGGAGGCTTTGGGGTTTAGGGTTTTGAACTATTTTTTTAGGGGTTTCGGACTTTGAATTAGACTTTTAGGGTTTAGGGTTTTGAGTTAAGGTTTTTAGGGGTTTAAGGTTTTGCATTAGGGGTTTAGGGTTTTGAATTAGGGTTTTAGGGTTGAATTAAGTTTTTAGGGTTAGGGGTTGAACTCGGCTTTGGGGCTTGGGTTTCAAATTAGGCTTTAGGGTTTAGGGTTGAATTGAATTGGGTTTTAGGGTTCAGGGTTGAATTAGGCTTTAGGGTTTTGGGTTGAATTGGGTTTTGGGGCTTATGGTTGAAGTGGGTTGTTGGGTTTAGGCTTGAATTGAGTTTTAGGGTTTGGGGTTTAATTAGGGTTTAGGGTTTCGGGTTTAATACGGATTTAGACGGATTTAGAGTCCTTAATTAAGGGGCTTCGGAGTCTCTGGGTAGTCAAGTCTCAGGCGAGTCTAAGATCTACTGATCTACATTGCATCTGCTGGCTCTCTCTCTCTCTCTCTCTCTCGCTCGCTCTCTCATTCAGAACTACTGCACTAGAGAGTCAAAATCTGCGCCAGCGCGCAGTTGAGAAGTGCAAACCACAATGCGACTGCAATCCAATTGATGTGGGGCTGGTTTACGGCAAGGGCCAAAAAACAACAGTCAAACTGCCGAGGCAGCAAGAGAGGCGAAAGAACTGCCGCTTGCTACCGTCAGCTGCAACTGCTGCAAGGCCCACAGCGAAACAAGCCCCAAAAGGCTGGCTGGTTCTTAGGAGGGAATGGAGGAATGGGTTTTTGGGACTACTACAAGGGACCTTAAGGGACTATCATGGGGATCCATTCCCCCATTCCCTACTAAGAACCAGGGAGAAGGTCGTACATATTTAGGGCTATAAGCATCACAGATCTGCATCCTGGGATCCGGTATACGCATGGTGCTGTAACCCTAAGAGTAACCCTGATAGTACCCGTTATAGTAACCCCCATACTAAGCTGACAGTGTGCCTTATAGAAACCCAGTATACTTAGACTAACCTGATAGAAGCCCTGCATGGAAGCGCAACTTTGCCCCAACCTGCACGGCGCTGACGCTGTCTGCAGCCGCCTGTCCAGTGTGGTGCCTGTGGTACTTTAGAGTTTCCTGTGTTTTTGTTGTTTTTTTGCGAATCTGGGCTTAACGTTTCAGGGTTCCTAGGTCCTGACCGAAAAAGACCTCGAGAAGAGGGCTAGGGGTGTTCGTGTCCGCTGCACTTGTTCACTTCCCCCCTGGTGCTTAGGATGCCAGGGCAGAGAAGCAAGGTAAGAAAAGACCAAGACGTCGATGATAATGGTTATGATAACTTATCATATCGACAATAACGCTAAGAATGTCAGTAACAGTGATTGTAACGCTGATAAGCATAACAAGAGTCAGAGAAAATGATAATGATATTTACGATACTTGCAAAAGTTTGCTGTCCTAATGTTTCTGTTTTGTCGTCTCGGCTTAATCGGTGCCCGGAGCCCACGGCCACACCGAAGCCCCAGCCACGCGCAGAGAAGATGGTGGAAGAGTAGCAGAAGGGCCTAAGTCCTTCAGTTCTTAGAAGGGTTCGGTGTAGGCTATGTTTTGTGTATAATAAAGAGCCCTAAGGTATAGTATTGGTAGTTATTCTGGGTTTTATGTTCGGTGCCAGCGCGACTTACGAAGGTGCAAACAGTACAAAACGACTCTGAAGTCATCTCCGTCCGAACCCTAAACCCTAAAGCCTTTCTGCTTGTGTGCTGCCTTCCTCTATCCATGAGGCATGACGAAGCTCTTGAGCCGCGACTGTACATCGGCCTGACGAAATGGCTAGACTCCTATACCAAAACTCCAGAATACCCTTATAGTAACCGTTATAGGAACCCTTTAAAGGAACCCTCATCCAATTATTAAGACCCTAAACCCTCGAAAGCGCTCAGCCCAATGCAAGCTGCCATCGTCTGCCGCCTGGGTCTTGCAAAAAGGCCTCCATTCCCATCAACAGAGGTGCAAGTGCCCCTTCGTCGTGGAAGAGATTCTCTAAAGCACTTGCGAAGCCATAGTTGGGCTGGATAGATGGCCGAAGCTGCTTCACGATCCCCATTACGGCCCCAAACAATGCAGCAGAACCGCTCTTCTCGTCTCTTTCCAGCACCCTCTTGACCTTACTCGTCCAGTTGCCTAGAGGAACTACACTTTGAGATTATACAAGGATTATCGCACCCATAAACTCTAAACCCTGAACCCTAAATCCTAAACCCTAAACGCTAAACCCTAAACCCCAAACCCTAAACAGGCTCTCACTAAAGCTTCTTGCTGCACGACTAGGTGACACACATCAACCAGGCAATCACCACGCTGGCCGAGCGGGAGCGACCTGGGGCTTTCCGAAAAGAGGGGACGACCCTAATTTTGTACCCTAAATCGTAGGATCCTTATTATAAAGACCCCAAGATAAGGGACCCTTAATTTTGCACCCTAAATCGTAGGATCCTTATGATAAGGACCCCAAAATAAGGTACACCTAACTTTCGGAAAGTCCCACCTTGCGCGCAGTGCACGAGCACCCTGGCACCAGGAGTCTCTGCAAAAGCCGCGAGTAGCCAGGGAAGAGCCTTCTTGAGGACCGGGTAAAGGTCAGCATCGGGATGGTCCTCGATGCGATGTAGGGCCCTATGGTTTAGGGCCTTATGGGTTTGGGGTGTGGGAGATTCGGGATTTGATGTTAGGGCTTAGGGTTTGGGGTACGGGGCTCGGGTTTTGACTTTAGGGGGTTTCGGGAAGGTCAACATCAGGATGGTCCGATGGTCCTCGATGCAGAGACTGAGATGCTCCACCCGAGCATCACTGGGCAGTGGGACTGAATGGTCGATCACACTGAGCACATGCGTAATCGCCAGGCCATTCAGAACCGCCGACGAAGTTGCTGTCTGTAGAGGCCCCAGATACAAGCCATCCTCGACGATCTCCGAAGGAACCGTGAGCCTCTTAGTGCCGGCTGCGTCTTGCAAGCCCTGGTATTTTTTCGCATACTCGTCACGATCCACCAGAAAAACCTGGTGCGGCTGGGCCTTGTTCCGCAGAATCCACTGGGCCATGGCCTGGCCTGGAGATGCTTTGGCCTTGGGGCCAGGCCTCGGGGTCTCAAAGACGATCGCCAAGTCCGGCACCTCAGAGGGACCGAAGAAGTCATCCACGAGTGCCTCGAAGACCCTGGCCTTCGCTTCGTCGGGGAGATCGGGGAGCAGGGTCGCAAAGCCGTAGGGCACCAGGCCTCCCTCCTGCAGGCGCCATGGAACTTCAGCCGGGCCCTTGCTGCCTTCGCCGCAGGCTGTGACATCAAAGACTAATACAGATCCATCGTGGATCCAGTTGAAGGCCTTGTGCGGTGGCAGAAGATGCACCGGAGCACTGTCTCCGTCCAAAGCTGGCGGCAAAGGAACGCCTAAACTGTACATTCAACACTGGGCGGAGGATGCTCCGCGAAGCTTGGGCCCAAGTCTGCTGCGAGGGAGCCCCATCGCGAGTTCAGAGCTTAGGGCTCGTCGCACATGAGGTTTTTATGGCTGCATCCCTTTTATAACACCATAACGCACCCCCTTTGGAGCCGCGTCTGCACTCAACCAAACCCGCCCCGCACATAAACCCTGTTTCTCAGCAACTCCCGGACCTGGCCCGATTCAAAGATGCTGCGTTTTGGGATTTAGCTTTAGGCGAAATCCTAAACGCAAGACAGAGGAGCAATTTCAGCTACAGGAGCGAGGACGATGTCAAAAGATACGATACCTTGTCTGTGAGGCCTGCCCAACTAACATGTTGTTGCTCCCAACACCCACGAATATGAAAGCTTAGACGTTTAGGATGACACATGCTTATGACAACCCGAGCAGTTGAAGAATCGGACCCCGAGCCCTCAAGCCCTAAACCCTGAACCACGTATGGTTTGGCGAACTGAGTCTGCCATCCGAGACGCTGCACCCAGGAGAGGATATTGGGAACGGACCTGGCAAGCAGCAGATTTCGGATGGCTCATCGTAGCGCTACTAAAGCAAGCTGGTAGTAGGGTCGTATGACCATCACCCGAAAACCTAACCCCCAAAAAACCCGCCCNNCCCCCCCCCCCCCCCCCGCCCCCACTAACCCTGAAGCTTAACTCCCTGAAACACGCCTTGGGCCGCTGAACTCCTCTCCCGCAGCTGGGGAGGTTCCTCCGAAGATCTTCAATGTGGGGAAGCCTTCGATGTTGCTCCTTCGGACGGGATCTTGTAAGGATTCCTGCAGAGGCGCTATAAGGGTTCTCGCCTATTTGTCATAATTTGCAATAAAAGTTAAATCGCTTCATGCTATTTCTGTCCTGGTAGCTGCAACGTACAGTAAGGCGTCAGATTATGAAAGATCGGAAGCAAGGGGTCTGTTCCCGGGCTTGGGCACGGCTAGGCTTGAACAAACACTGTCAAAACTAGTTGAGACCGATAGTCAGACAAGCCAACTCATTCGAGAAATCATCGTAGAGTCGTAGAGCTCTTCAAAGAAAAAAGCTGGTAGCCTGGTGACCACGCCGAGATTGATTATGATTATAGTCAACCCCTTTGTTCTTCCAGGGTTGGAATTCAAGCACTCTGGATGGATCAACCGGGCATGAGCAAGAGCCGGTCACTGACGTCCTAATGGAGCTACTCGTCCTCAGCGCCATTCCGTGGGAGACGCGAAATTCTACGGAAATGCTCATTGATATTGGAAAATGCTCTGATGACAAGGAATCCACATGTGTGTCACGTGTCGGGAGGGTGCAAACGAAGTGCAATCGCTGGGTGGCTAAACCCCCTGTGCTCCATGCAAGGCAGCAGCAGCAGCAGCAGCAGCAGCAGCAATCGCGGGGCGCAGGATGGCAGGCTACAGGGCCGGGAAGGGGGTCAAGGGGGGAAGCCAAAAAAACACATGTTTCTGTTTCGCCCCCTTCCCTCTCCGACCCCCTACCCCATGCTCCGACGTGTCTTTAAAGTCCTCCTCCTGGGGCACTCCGTCAACATGGAAATCCCTATACTCCCTCTTGTCAATGCAGAGGTTTCTCATTTAGTCTTTTTCGTTCTCTCCCATTAGTTATCTTAGTTATCTTGGTTTCCATTACAAACCAGGCTGTCCGTAGCTGACTGTGCCACAGTGAAGAGTGTACTGTGCTGAGCTCGCCAACTGAGGACAAAACCCGAAAATCCCCACCACCAGGGAGTAATGTTCTGTGATGTCCTGGGTGTTAAAGTACAAGGTTGGCTTCGGGGTTTGCAAGATGTTTTTTCCTTCGGGTCGGCCCAAGGCCTGCCTTTTGAAGTGCCTGCGACTTCAGACTTGCAAAGCTTTCCAGTGAAGCCAATGAACGAGGCAAAGTGTTCCGTCATGCCGCACTGGCCGAAATCTTGATGCGACTCGACGGGGCCTTCATCCTGCTGGTAGATGGCTGTGAATTGCGCGTAGAGATTCCGGTGCGTAGAGATTCCGGAGAATTCTGGGATGGAAACGTTCGCCGTCCTCCTCCTGCGTCAGCGATCCAAGTGCGAGCAAGCACTGCCTGGTCAACCTTGCCCGGGCCCTCCTCCCGCACGGTCTGAAGAGTTGCCAACGGGCATATCTTCGTCTCATCGTAATCCGCAAAAAGATTGGCAGAAAACAGAGACGGCGGCTTCACCTTCTCCGCGTGCCTCATAGCGGATTTGGGTGCTTCCACTCGGCAGCCGCTCTAGCCTGGCTATAGTCATGCGGCGGACCTGCTTCCCCTCAAGATGCTCCCGGCGTTCGCTGAGAATGTTGGGTGCCCTGCCTACGATGGCAGCTGCACATAAGGTGGAAACAGCCAAATAGAGGTCTGACCACGTGCCTTCCCGTCGGAAAATGCGACCAACATGTTCGTACTTCGAAATGAGGGCAGTGAGGCCAAGCTTTGTCAGGGAGTAGTGGTCCAAAGACCTTGCAAAAAAGAATTGATGATGACGGCATTGAGAGCATAAGGTCCGTAGCTTGGTTCTAATCTAAGGGCTCTGCTATCCAAGCTGCAGTCCATCGGCTCTCCAGCCACGGACTGCCTGCTAAAGTGAAACCGACCAGGCGTGCGAGGGGGTAAGGTTTGGGACTTAACGTCGGCTCACCACTCTGTAACCGCCCCAACCCAGCAGAAACCCCTACAGAACTCTGTAGAGCCCTTCTCGAACCCCAGACAGAAACCCTTGTAGAATCCGTGCAGAAACATAGCACCCTGTACCCTCAGCCCTAACACGTCCGGGAAATTGTCATGGAGACTCCAAATACATCCGAATCAAGCCTACAAGCCAAGGACCTCCCGATCGATACCCTGATTCCTATAAATATCTAGGGCATTTAGGGTTTAGGGTTCAGGGTTTTGGGCCGCTAAAATCTAAAACAGTACGAGAGAATGCATATAGCTTTATGTACATACATACTTAATTACACTCGTACGTACATACATACACGTATACAGCTTATATGCATGCATCCATGCCCTGAACCCCCCACCAAAAAAAAGAACGCACCGCGCTCCTCTTGCACTCCTCGAGGTCCTTGCCTGGAACCCAACCCTGGGCGAAGCACTCCTGCACCGAGGCTCTTTAGGTATCTCCTTCTGCTCCCTTAGACGCACAAGAGAAAGCCGTCACCCCTTGCAACTTATCATTATAAGCGTAATTCCCAAGAGCCCTAAAGTCTGTGGTTCTTGGACTCGGGGGTTCAGGCGTGCTGAGGTCGAGAAGTTTGGGATTCAGAGTTGCACGGATACAGGGGTTCGGGTTTAGAGATCCAGGCGTCTGGGTTTTTGTGGCTTTTGCGGCTTTTGCAGTATGGGGCTGAGGGATCAAAAGGGGTGGAATTAGGAATTTAGGGTTTAGGGCCTAGCGGCTTTTGTTGGATTGTTTTAAGGCAAATTTTGGGAATGGTTCGAGGTTCAGGATTCAAGATTCTCGGGGATCGGGGTATAGGATTTTGTAGCGGTCAAGGCTGAGGATCTTCGGGCTTAGGATTTAAGGGTTTAGGGTTTAGGGTTTGGGGCTTAGGATTTAGGGGTTTAGGTTTTAGGGTTGGGAGCTCAAGGTTTAGGAGTACTAGGGTTTAGGGGCTCAAGGCCCAAATGCTCAAACCCTGAGCCCAAGAATCTAAACCCTAAACCCTAAACCCTAAACCCTAGACCCTAAACCCTAAACCCTAAACCCTAAACCCTGAACCCTAAACCCTAAACCCTAAACCCCGAACTCTGAACATGGTGAGCCCCGGCGTCCTTCTGCTCCCACTGGACTTTCGGATTCGTGGCCTTTGCTGCCCACTGCGCTTGGGCGTCCTCCCACTTTATGACGGCCATGGAGTTAGGGATTTCGGGTTTAGGTTGAAGGCCTCAGGGAACCCCAAGCCCTAAACCCCAAACCCTGAACCCTATACCCTAAACCCAAACCCTAAACCCTAAACCCCTAAACCTAAACCCTAAACCCTAAACCCTAAACCTAAACCGTGAACCACCTAAACCTAAATGTGTAGGGTCTAGGGCTCAAAGAGTCTAGGGTTCGGCTTTAAGCGACTGGGGGCTGAGGCTTGCAGGGAGATTTTGTGGCCTAGGGATTTAAAGTTTGGGTTCAGGGTTCAGGGTTCAGGGTTTAGGGTTCAGGGTTCAGGGTTTAGGGTTCAGGGTGTCGGGTTCAGGGTTCAGCAATTTACGGTTTAGGGCTTAAGGGTTGGGGTTGATGGGTTTAGGTCAGGTATGGATTAGACTGTTTGGATTGCTTGGGTTCACATTCATACTTGGAGGTTCATGGGTAGTTATAAGTCGGGTTATAAGTAGGGTAACTGTAATTATAAGCCATTAGGGGACTTAGAACCCAACTTATAGCTACCCATGAACCTCCAAGTAGTATTGTCTTTTTGGAACCTGAGGATGGGCCCGACAGAATCGGATCCGTACTATCAGGACCTCAAAAAACCAGACACACAGCTTAGGGTTTAGGGTTCAGAGTTTAGGGTTTAGGATTCTTAAGATTCGGGGGCGATTTCGGGTTCAGGCTTCGCCACTTCCAAAGCGCGGACATAGAGTCCGCAAGGCGTCGTGAACGGGTACTTGCACTAGTACTGGATCTGTGGGGTTCGATGAAGGGCTACATTCCTAAACCGTAAACCCTAAACCCTAAACCCTAAACTCTAAACCCTAAACCCTAAAGCCTAAACTCTAAACCCTAAACCCTAAAGCCTAAACTCTAAACCCTAAGGGTTCTTTCAAGTGCTCCTATAGGCCTTCTACACGCGGTTCAGGCCTCCCGATCCTTCCTCCAGGTCGGCCGGAGCCGCCGAGGCGATGTTGCATGCGAAGTGCTGACCCAGAGAGCCCTATATACCCCTTAATTTTAAAATTTTAGGAATAGACCTTAAACCACAATGTATTTAGGCCCCCCTATATACCCCTTGATTTTCGGAA